TTTTTTTGTTATTTTTCTTAAGTCTTTATTATTATATATATATATATTTTTTTTTTATAAGAGCGTTTTCATTTTTTGCTTCAGCGGACTGATTTAGGTAAACATCGTCTAGGAATGTGTCCCTGTGGTTCATTCCTTCATAACACTATACCTGTCTTCTCATGCATACACAAAAAGGGCAGAGTTGCAGATCCAAATTACAAAACGAAGACATCTCTGGGGTTTGAATTTGCTTCTTCTGTTCATGTTATCATTTCCTATGGACTTCAAACCACCACATTAGGAGCTGGCGGCTTTTTGAATCGGTTGAAGTGATTGTAGATCTTTTTTGCAGCAATGCAGTGGCATGTTGTTGACTCAAGGTACTTCATGTTGGCAAATTCCTCATTCGAAGTATTCACATTCAATGAATGTTTTCATTAGAATCGACGCTCAACTAAATTTCGATATTTATTATTTCTTTGAAAATATCATTCGACAGAACTTGGAWTTATCGACTTGGATTGATTCAATTGATGAAGATCTTGATGTGCTTATCAACTGAGATTCAATCCTGAGGAGTACAAAGAAGACCGTCTCATACCTGAGGCAGTTGTGAACTAAGAAATACGGGCCAAAGCTACTTTACTTTAAATAAAAAAGAAAGCAAGTAAGTAAAGGGCCAATTTAGGATGCAGGCAAGCAGCGAACGAAGACAACATGCAAGGGAGCAAGCAGCCATGCAAGTCAATAACGGTATTTGTTTTATGTTTTTAGAGGCTGACACAAGCGTTATAGTCTAGACTAATAGACTCTGAATCAGTAAAGCTGTATCCCTCACGATAATAAGATGATTAAATTCTAGAAAGACGTGAGGTTTGAATCATCTGAACTACAAACTACATGTGCAACATCACATCGACAAGGAAAAGAATATATGCTCACAACTAATAAAAATGTGCCACGTATCACTTCACATCAACAAAATCTGAGCAAGATATCAAAATTATTCACTGTCAACGCCGATTCTAAAAAACTGCAAAATGGCAGAAGAGATTACTGACAGCAGTGATGGCGAATTTAACAAAACTCTATTTCACGCTATTAAGTATGGAAAAGAAGAATTGGTCCAGAAACTAATCGAGTGTGGTGCTGATGTCAATGCTACCGATGAAGATGGCAGAACTGCTTTGTTTTATGCTGTACAGAAAAAAAAAGAAAAAATAGTGGAAAAACTAATCCAGTGTGGCGCTGATATCAATGCAACCGATGAAACTGGCGAAACTCCTTTGCTTTATGCCGTAGAAAATGGAAATGAAAAAATGGTGAAAAAACTAATCGAGTGTGGGGCTGATGTTAATGTTACCAATAGATATGGTGGAACTCCTTTGTTTTATGCTGTACAGAAAGAAAATGAAAAAATAGTGGAAAAACTAATCGAGTGTGGTACTGATGTTAATGCTACCATTAGATATGGCGGAACTCTTTTGTTTTATGCTGTAAATGAAAAAGTGGTCCAAAAACTGATCCAGTGTGGTGCTGATGTTAATGCTACCGATGAAGATGGCTCGACTGCTTTGTTTTATGCTGTAAATGAAAAAGTGGTCCAAAAACTAATCCAGAGTGGTGCTGATGTCAATGCAACGAATATAAAAGGCTTCACTGCTTTGTTTTTTGCTGTAGAGAAAGAAAATGAAAAAATAGTGGAAAAACTAATC